TATTAATTACAGTTTATTCACTTTGTATCCCAGTTGTAGCCCTTCCCCCCTCCCTCCCAATCCCACCCTTCCTTTCCCTCTATTTCTCCTATGTCCCTCTCCCAGTCGAAAGATAGGGAAGGTCCTTCCACCCTTCTTTGTTTTGTTTTTTTAAGAAAGTGTCTTACTGTATAGCCCAACTCAGCCCATTATCCTGCCTGGGCTTCTGAAATATGCTGAGGTTGCAGGCATGTAGTACTACGCTGAGCTAATCACTTACTGTTGTTCAGGGACCATGCCAAGAGGGGTGTGTGTGTGTGTGTGTGTGTGTGTGTGTGTGTGTGCGCGCGCGCGCGCGCGCGTGCAATTGTAGAAGCAAGAGACCAAGCTTGGCCATCTTCCTCTGTCACTCAGCATGTTGTTTTTGTTTGAGAGGGGGTCTCTGCTCGGCACAGAGTTTGCTGATTAGGCCTTACTGTCTTGCCATAAAGCCCCAAGGACCCTCAGGGATACCTCCTTCAGGATAACGATTACAGACACGCTGCCCCCAGCTTTTCTAGGTGTGTGCTGGGACCTCTGTAATCCCAGCCTTACAGAAGACACAGACAAGAACTTTGCTAAGGCTTGCTGGCAAATTCAGCCTGGCTCCAAATTCAATGAGAGACCCCATCTCAAAAGCCTAAGATGGAAAGTGATGGAGCAGGACACCCAGCATCCTTCAGGGGCCTCTGCTTGTGTGTATGCACACACACACACACACACACACACACACACACACACATACGGGGGGAAATGCAGGGCTGGAGGCGTTGTCATTAGCTCAGTTGGTAAGTGATTGCCTACCATCCATGAAGGGTTTCACCCCCACCACCACATAAACTAGGTATGGTGGTCTACACCTGTAATCTCAGGACTGGGGAGGTAGAGGCAGGAGGATTATAGTAAGTTGGAGACCAGCCTAGTCTGTATGATAAATTCTGTGTCAGCCAGGGCTACATAGTCAAATGTTGTTTCAAAAATACCCACGAAGTGGTTCTTTCCCAGCACACAGGCGGTAGAAACAAGGCCACGCAGACACAGAGCTTCCCTCAATCAAGGCCCTCGTTTGCTAGGATTTGCTAGTTGAAGTAGATGAGGTGACAGCACACTTTACCCTGGGAAGGCAGCTGCTGCGCCAGCCCACAGGGCCTCCCCGCCAGCCCTGTCTCTACTCTAATGGCTACACCCAGGGGAGCCTTAATGGACTCCATCCCAGCCCCAGCTGAAGTAATGGATTCCTAATGGAGCAGACAATGTCATTACCAAATGGAGCAGGGAAGTGGAGGGCAGAAAGGCAGATCCATCTGTTTCTCTAGAGAACTAGGCACATTCAGCTAATCCTTGCGTTTGGGTGGGGGCAGGTTGTCATATAGCCAGGCTGGTCTCAAAGTCATTGTATAGCTAAGAATGCCCTTGAACTTCTGATGCTTCTGCCTCTACTGCCCAAGTGCTGGGATTTCACATTTATACCACTATGCCCAACACTAATTCTTGGCTCTTAAATCCCCAACTATTTATTGCTTGTATTTTGAACATATTGTGACTCCTGAGGCTTGGGTCTATCTGTCTTTTTGGATGCCTCATTGCCCAGATTCTGTCATTTTGTTGAGAAGTTTCTTCGTTATACTTTTCTCCTGGCTTTAACAAAATTGCTGACAAAAAACACTTAAGGAGGGAAGGTAGGGTTTGTTTTGGCTTACAGTTCTAGGCAAGACAGTCCATCATGGTGGAGAAGGCATAGTGGCAAGAATCTGAGGCTGATGATCACAGAGCCCACGGGGCACGTTTCAGATTCATCCTATAACATGGGTTGATGGGCATGCTAGCAAGAGAAGCTTTTAACTGTAATTCCATATATGATATATCTACTAGTCCCGACTGATGGCTCCAAGGTATGGTTTATTGTAGATATGAGGGAGCAAACAGCCAGAGGTGTCTGGAAGAGTCTAGACAGAACATGGCCATGAGAGGAAAGAGAGAAGTGGGGAGAGGGAGAGGAGATGGGGCAAGCAGATCAAGACAGACCCAGGAGCAGAGCCAAACAGGAACAAAGGGGCCAAGCGACTATGTAGCCAAAGTGGCAGAGTTTATATAGGGAAGAGCCATGTGGGGGTGGAGGTGGGGTGGGTGAAAGCGCAGCCCTGTGAAGGAGAAGTTTAGAATGGGGGCTGGGGTGAGAAGGGCTGGGAAGAAGCCCCAGATTCCTAGTGCAACTCGCAGGTTTTTTTGAGACCTAACACTATGGTCCAAACAAGTCACCAACTGTCCATTGTTCCCCAGTTATAGGTAGGGGCCTCTGAACCTCTTCCCACTTCATGCTTAAACGATCTTGTCTGGGCAACTCCAGCTGCTGCGATGTGAGCTCATGGGTGCCTTGTTTCTGCCATATCCAGAAGGAGCTGTTTCATTCTGGCCCTCCCTATTCTCCAGCTCTTACGATCTTTCTGCTTCCTCTTCTTCAGTGGCCTGACCTTTGGGAGGGAGGGTATGGTCACTCAACTGATGCTAATTCCTGCACTTTGACTGGCTCTGAGTTTCTGCTTTAACCACCATCCACTGTACAAAGAAACCTTTCTTGTCAGACCTGAGAGCTTCACTAACCTGTAGGTAGAGAGAGAGAGAGAGATCTAGAAGGCAGTTTGATACTGTGTCAGTTTAGTGGAATAATAGCAGTAGATTTACCTCTAGGGACAGTGAGCTCAACCTCGGTTCTTGGCCAGGTCAACAGTACCAGGCGTGTGTTTCTTACAGTGCAGTAGGTTTTAAATCCAAGCAGAAGGTGATTAGTTACCCCGATAACATTCATGCCTCTATTCACCCGTGGGCATATCTCACCTCGCTGAGCAATGTTATTGTTGTTCACCAGACACAGCTGGGTAAGCTGGGATAATTTCTCCTACCCAGTAGGCTAGCCCACCAGAGAGGAAGCTTCTAGTTAGTCTAAGTTTTCTCTGTGTCCTATGATTTTTTTTTTAAAGATTTGTTTTATTTTCATTTATGTGTATGTGAGTGCAGGTGCCCTCAGAGGCCAGAAGAGGGTGTTGGTAAAAGCTGGAGCTACAGGTAGCTGTAAGTCATCTGATCTGGGTGCTGGAATCTGAGCTCAGGTCCTCTGGAAGAGCAAGACATGCTTTTAACTGGTGAGCCATGTCTCTGGGCCCTCCTATTGTTTTTTTTTTTTTTTTTTGTTTTTTTTTTAACTATTTTGGTTTCAAGTTAGGGTCTCATGCAGCTCAGGATGGCCTCAGACTCTATATGCAGCTGAGGATGACTTTGAACTTTTTTTCATTTAAGTTTTTCTTTAGTTATACGATTGCTTTATTTCTGTGATCTGTGTATGGTCGCCACATGAATGGCTGGTGCCTGCAGAGGTCAGAAGAGGGTATCATATCCCCTGGATCTGGAGTTCCAGAGGATTGTGAGCCACCGTGCGGGTGCTGAGAAGTCCTCTACAAAAGCAAGTAACTTTTAATGCTAAACCACCTCTCCAGCCTCAATGGCCTTGAACTCTTGATGCTCCTGCCTCTACCTCCCTAGCTGCACCAATCGCCACATCCATTGTATTCAATTTTGGGGACAGAACAGTGTTTCATGTATGCTGGCCAAGCACTCTACCAGTCGGAGCTCCATCCTCAGGCATGTTTGGTTTGCTATGGGTTTGGGTTTTTGGCACTGCATCTAGGGTGGCCCGGACTGACCTTGAGTTGGTCGTGTAACCTTGAACTCTTGATCCTTCAGCCTCCACCTCCCACAGCTTGCTTATTCACACATTTATTACTTCTTTTCCTTGCTTGTCTCATGTCCCCACTCCATACTGATTTCTTCTGGATCAATTCCAAAATACATGCAAATTCCTATCTTAGTACCTGTTTCCAGAGAAACTCCAGTCCCTCAGGTAAGATCCAGTACCTCACAATCTTAGCCAATTATCTTAAGGCCTAGTCAGAATAGCCATTATTCACTGCTAGTAAAGAATACTGAAGAAAATACAGACAAAGGGAATTATGTCCCATGTTCTTTGTGTTTTTCTGGTTAGTTTTTTTTTATTTTTTATTGCTGTTGTTGTGTGCTTACATAATTGCAAATAGACAGGATGGCTGGCCTAGGATTCCAGGCACAGAAGGTAGATATAAGGCAAGCCATATTGGTAAGTTCTGGGTTTGATTGAGAGACCCTGTGAGTGTGTTGTATGTGTGTGTGTGTGTGTGTAGGTATTTGTACATGCATGTGCACATCTGGAGGATAAAATGTATCTTCCTAGTTTAAATCATTATCGTCTATCATCATCACTACCACCACCACCATCATCATTATTATTTTGAAACAAGGTCTCATTTTATACTCCTGGCAGGTCTGAAACTCATTGTGTAAACCAGAATGGCTTTGAACTCAAAGCCCCCAGGGAGGGCCTGGGGTGTGGCTCAGTGGTAGAGTACCTGCCTAGAATCCCCCAGTGAGGGATTGTGAATCAGTGTAGAGCCCCTGCCTAGAATCCTCTAGTGAAGGGCTGGGGTGTGGCTCTGTGGTAGAGCACCTGCCTGTCTGTGTCTTCTGGGTGCCATCATTAAAGGTTTGTGCCACTATGCCTAGCCAGTCAAATCTTTTTTAAAAATTGCATTTATTTATTTACTCTCTCTCTCTCTCTCTCTCTCTCTCTCTCTGTGTGTGTGTGTGTGTGTGTGTGCATGTATTATGAAATGCACATGGAAATCAGAGGGCAACTTTCAGGAGTTGGTTCCCTTTCTACCATGTGACTTCCAGGGATTGAACTCACATTGTCAGTGTTGGTGGCAAGTGCCTTTACCCACTGAGCCATCTTGCCAGTCTTAGTAAAATCACATCTTTATTTAAAGCCCTCCAATGGAAACCATACTCTCCTTCCACCAGGACTACAATCCCTCTGAAGGAACTCATCAGGCTCCACAGGGGGAAAGGAGTCAAGAGCTGTTTTCAAGGGTCCTTGAGCTGAGCATTCAGCAGGGTCACAAACACTTCTGGGATTTCAACAGAGAAATGTATCTCTGCGCCCACTTGGCCTTCAGCTCGACACAGATTTTCTTACCTCTTTTAGTAGTGAATCTGTAAAAAAGAGATATAAAGTGAATGTTGACATCCATGGCTTTGAAGCTTATAAAAGAAGAGGGTGGGTAGACTTCCGATTTGTGTTCTTCCCTATCCAACAAAACTGCTACACTCCATTCCTGTCCTGCCCTTGCTAATTCTGCTTCTCCTTTCCATTTCCTCCAGAATCCACCCCACCCCCACCCTGTCCACATTCCCCAGGAATCATGTCTCAGAAGGTTTAGTTGCCAGGAAGTAATCTGTATGGTGACACTAGATACTTTGATTTACAATATAACAACTTTATTGAGACATAATTCACCCACTCCATGAAGCATATATTTGACACGATTAAGGATGATATAGCTCAGCAGTAGAGCACCTGCCTAGAATCCCCAGTGAGGGGCTAGGGTGTGGCTCTGTGGTATAGCACCTGCCTAGAATCCTTCAAAAGGGGCTTTGATGGGGTATAGCTCACTCAGGTATACAGTTGCCTAGCATATAGAAAGCTCTAGGTTCAATCCCCAGTAAGTTAAATAGATAAATAAAATTTGAAAGTGAGCACATGCTGGTTTAATAAAACTTCAGTATATTCATAGACTACAGAACTATTGCCCAACCAATTTTAATCTTCCACATGTGTGTATGCTTGGAGTATAACCCATGCCTTCACAATACTAAATAAATGTTTTACCACTGAGTTACACCACAGCTCTGAACAATGAATTTTAGAGGGCAGAAAAGAACCCCATAGTAATATGCCACTTAATTCTCTTTTTATACTTTTAAATTGCTTTGTAATAAGAGGGAAGCCCACTTGTTATGGTACAGATATGGGATCAGAGTACAGTTTGCTGGGAACCAGCTTTCTCTCTCCATGGAACCAGAAGATCAAACTCAAGCCGTTAGTCTTGGTGAAAGGTATTTTTATCTACTGGATCATTTCATCAAACTCAAAAATTTCCCCCTTTTTAAATGACATGGTCTTACCATGCAGCCATGGTGTGCTTCAATTTCATGATATTCCACCTCAGCCTCCTGAGTACTGGGATTACAAGCTTGTACCACCATATTCAGCTCTTGATTTTATATCATCATCATCATCATCATCACCATTATTATTTGTTTTTTCGAGTCAGGGTTCCTTTTTGTTACTGCAGCTGTCATGGAATTCACTCTATAAACCAAGCTGGCCTCAAACTCGGAGAGCCACCTGCTTCTGCCTCCCAAGTGCTGAGATTAAAGGCCACCACCACCACCTGGCTGGGCTCTCCATTTTATACCCAGCTCCTAGAGCAGGGCCTGCTGCATGCTGTGAAAGTCAGACTCTAAGTATCTCAAAGCCACATGTATTTGTTCAGAGGCAGGGCTATAGCCTAGGGTGGTAGCTGGTTTTCACTGTAAAGTTAAAAATCTAAAATCTGGGAAGTCTTGATGAAAGATTATCTAGATTAGGCTGGCCTGTTGACATGTCTATAGGACCTATTTTGAGTATATTAATGGAAGTAGGAAGACTGGCCCACTGTGGGTGGCATCAGTCTTTAAGCAGGGGACTCTGAACTGTGTAAGGGTAAGAAATCAGGCTGAGATCTATTGTAATACATCGATTCATTGTTCTCTGCTCTTGACTGTGAATATATGATCAGCTGCTTAAAGATCTTGCTATCTTGACTTTCCAGCAATGATGGATTGTGTCTTGGTTTCAGCTGTCAATGTTCATCTAAAAAAAAAAAAGTAACTCAAAGAATTTCCTCAATAAGATTGGTCTGTGACTGCATCTGTGAAGAACTGTCTTTATGAATGCAGAAGGGCCCAGGCAAGTATAAGCAGCACCTCATAGGCAGCACCATTGTGGGCCTGAACTATATAAAAAGCTACTAGAGAACATGATTTACAAAGCAAGCCCAAGAAGCAGCATTCTTTCGTGTTCTAGTCTGTTCCTGTCCTGAGATCTGACTTCCCTCTGTGAGGAAGTGTGATCCCAAATAAACCTTTTCCTCCCCAAGCTGCTTTTGGTCATTATAATTATCATAGCAACAGAAAGCCAACTAGAACAGAATGTCTCCCTTAAGGTGCTTTGATCAAGAGACAAGAAACAAAACAGAGACACCCTCTTCCTAGATTCCTATCCTCACATCCAGTCTGTCACTGTGAGCATCCACCTAGTTCCTGCCCAATGGCGTGACTGGCAGTGAAACCTAGAATCACTCACATCACACCCCCTTGGGAACAGCTGCTTTGGGTGATGTCATAGTTGTTCACCCAGTTCCACGGGACCTGTGGCAGAAAAAGAAGCAGCAGGGCTTGGACATGCCACTCCCGCCTAGAAATGGAGGGAAAGGACTTTGAGATGTTCCTGTAAGAGAGGAAAAGCTTCAGGGAGATACGTGTGGCGTCTCTAAGATGGACATGAGGAAGAAGGCCAAAAGAACAATGGGACTCAAGGAGAAGATCTTCATGGTACATTGACCTGGGTCCTTTATAGATGTCTTCTGGATTCCTCCTGTCTTGTCTTCTATGAGTCTGTGCAGAGCCTGAACATTGCAGAAAATTTTATGGTTTAAAACAAAGTAGTGTATGTGTGTGTGTGTGTGTGTGTGTGTGTGTGTGTGTGTGTGTGTGTG